AACTCCACCTGATTTCGCCACCAAACGCCGCTCAATTTCGCCTCTCCAACGCCGTCGTAACAGACTAACAGAAGAGGACGAACTTGAGCTTCATCCCAATTTGGTCCCATCGATCTCTAGCTTCTACGACACTAGAAGCTTGATTCCAATTTGAAGAACTTAAAGATAATACAGAGTAGTTCTCATTCAGGGGTAGAAAACCAGGGGCGGCGGAGACAGGCGACGAAGGCGGTGGTGGCGTCCTGTCTTCGGCGTCCACTCACGTTAGCGAAGAAGATGGGTGAGGGCGACAAACCAAGTGAGCGGAAGAGGACTTCTCGCTAGCAGAGAACCTTGGAGAGAAAAGGAAGAAGGATAAAGAAAAACAAACAAAAGAGAGAAGGGAGGAAGAAGCTCACGCGTAGGTAGCAGAGGAAGAAGAAAGGAGAAGAAAGAGGAAAAAGAAAATGAAAATAAAAAATGCCAGATCCGTAATTTGACCGGCAACCGGAAGACCACAGGCTAAAAAGACATTTTGACTCATTTTTTATGGTTCGTGGGTTTAATTGGGTGATATTTGTGTTGGTGGACTTAATTGACATTTTCGTAATAGTAGGAGGGCCTATTTGATCTTTTTCCCATAAATGAAGAATGATGATTATCAAACGGGCTCTACAAATCACATCAGTCACATGAAAACCATAATACTTCAATCTACCCACGAACATGAATATGTACTACACAAATGCATTTAAAATAGTCTGTACATTGTATATAATAAAACGGTTTTATTTTATTCTTATTAGATCTCAAATGGAGATAGCTAAATATTTATTAGCTTATTTAATACGAAGTACATAATATATTTCAACAACATGGAAAATGTAATATGTTAACTGAAAGTTTTTTATGACGGGTAATTGAAAGTCTTTTTGCTTCATTGTATAACATGATTTAATAAATAAATCATGCTACTTTGAATGATATAGTTCTTGCTCATCTAATTAAAAAGCAACAATAATACATGTACATTTTTTATGCAGCTCTTATTAGCTAAGTTCTTGAATGGTAGGTACCAGTTGATACTACCAAATACCAAACACGTAATATATATACACAAAACATATACGGAGTATCTAGTAATGTTAAAATCGGGTCGGTTAAGATCAACGGGATTCAAACTATAACACGAGTGTGACTTTCATGGTCGTCTTGTAAGAGGTGCAATAGGTGATTGTCATTGGGATCCACTTCATGTAAAGCCTCCAAAAAATTAATATGTAGTACAGAGTAGTAGTGTTATACTCCGTATATAGTTTGAAAACGTGTAAAACTTTTTAATTTTTGCAAATAGAGAAATAGGGCAATTTTATAAAGATTTGATTAACATTTTGCTTCGAAGACTTTTAGAAGGACTCCATTTAAGAGAGTGCCTTAGCTTATGCTTTAGGTAATAATTTAGTTTTCTCTATAGGTTATCATCATATCTCTTGACTCTTGCTTATGTTATTTTTGTCTTGTAATTTTCTGGAGCCTTATTCAAGTGCAAGTTCATGGGCTATGTAATATTGTACTCCGTAACTTAAACATTATAAAATTTGTATTTCACTGAATAACATAATCTAATTAATGTATTTATATTTTATGAAATCTAGTACTCCCTCCGGTTCTCAAAGAGCTTCACAGTTTGACTTCACACAGATTAAAAAAATAAATTTGACTTTGCTGTGAAGTGCACTGTTTGAACACTGTTTGGCACTGTTTGGCACTGTTTGGCATTGTTTTGCACTGTTTTGGTGGAGTTAATTTGCCAAATAAGGAAATAAGAAGAAGTGTGAAGTTAATTTCGGGACTTCCCGAAAAGGAAAGTGGGAAGTATTATACGGAGTAATACGTAGTATGAAACATCTAGTATGAAAAATATACGTATAACGCTATTTTTTCTTGTTTTATGGGTCTTTCCCCATTTAGAACAAGACCTCCGAAATGTATTTGTCAATTGCACCCTACACACGTAATATAATGCGTTTTGTTTTGTAATAATCCTTCTTTTCTAAGTGTGTGATAATTCTTCTTATAACTAAAATACTTGAAAGTTAATAAGTTTATACTATCAAATTCAGTTTACCCTAATACCACGAAATTCTAAATCTGTTACGTTATTGGGAGAAATATTCGATGATCTAGTTATACATTAATTTAATATTTTATGACTATCGAAAAAGAATTAATATTTTATGACTTGCATGTGTAATATGGACAAAACTTCAACGAACCCTTTTTATTCTGAAAATTATGAAGTCGCCATCATGATTGATCAACCTCATGATAATACACATGTGGACTTTGATGACACCTCACCAAAAAAAGATTGCACGTTATTAGAAGCTCAATAATTTAGTGTACTCCAAGTAACCCGATCGAACGAAAAGTAGAGACGAGAGATCACAATCTGTCCTCGTATTATTATCTTTAGTATAAGCTCATGATAAATTTTGCCAAAAAAAGCTCATCATACTATTATTGTCCGATTACTATTTTCGATGTTTAACCGATGAAAAAACAAATTGATCTTTGTTTGCACTCAAGTTATTTTTAGAAAAAAAATAAATAAATATATATTCAGAAACTACATTAAAAGTTTTACAAGGTCGCAAAAATCAGAATCAAGTTTGACAAAATTTTGATACACAAAATAAGAGATTAAGAGTAATTTATGTTGGTCAAGTGAATAAGAACTGAGATAATAACAGGGGACTGATGGAGTACTTCGTACTACGGTACTCCCCTTTATCCCTCAAAGATTGAGATAATTGAGAACAGTACAATTATTAGGGAAAATGAAATTATATAATTCATGTTGAATTTATAAAATGTGAATAAAGTAAAAATGAATTATAATCATTCATATATTAGCAAATATGAGGTGAGAAGCTCAATTAGATAAACGAAAAAGGAAAAATGAGAAAAAGATAGTGAAGTGTGGTATTTATAGGTAAATGCAATAACAATCAGACACGTGTTCTCAGATGAGAAAATGAACTGATAATAGGCACTTTAGTATTTCAACCGAAACATGGAAATTTCGACTCTGCGTATAGTTGTGGACTCACAAACTTTTGGGGGGGAATTCGTAAATGAACACAGGTTGAACAGTTGAACCTTGATAATTCTGGTGTGATTTTATAGAATTATCTGTTAGAAATAGATAATACTATAGATAATACTCTCTATCTATATCTTGATAATACTCTCACGCTTTTTCTATAATACCAGTTTGTTACTCATTCTTTTTCACCCTGATTGTAAACTAGATTAAAAAAAAGGATGACATCTCATCCCTGAGAGCTCCCCAACCCTCCGAACCCTTGTGCCACTCCCCAGCACCAATTGAGCTACGCCCACCGGTTGATTGTAAACTAGATAAGATTGATTAATATGATATCAAATACCAATGAACCAAAATGATCCTGATGCTTCAGTTCAAGATCATAAATAAACAAACGATGACTTTCCTTCTCTAAGTTCTCTTCCTTATATCTAGGGGTGGACTCGGGTCGGGCCAACCGGCCCGGAACCGGACCGGCCCGCTACTGTGCGGGCCCGGACCAGCCCGTGAACCGGTTGGTTGGCCGGTTCGGACCACCCGGCCCGGTGGGATGGCGGTTCAGGCTCGGGCCCTTCAAAAGGTGAACCGGCCCGGGCGGTTCGGGCCGGGCCAATTATTTTTTTTTGAACTTTTTTTAAGTTTTTGGATTGGGCTGAGTATTTTGGGCCATTTGAGGTGGTTAGGGTTGGTTTGGGGGTGAGGGGGAGGGTTGGAGGTTAACTAGGAAAAGCCAAAAAAAAAATAGAACCGAGGTCCGACCCGGCCCGGCCCGGACCCGAGGGTTACCCGAGTCGGTTTTGAGCCTCCCCTTCATGAACCAAGGCCCGACCGAGCCCGAATCGGAACCGGTCTATCCCTACTTATATCATAGTATCATACTAATTGGTAGGCATGGATCCAATCCATTTCTGGACTTATTCCAATCCCAGCCTCTCAGGTCAGGTTAGACATGGACCAGGACCGGGCCGGACTAGGCTCCGGGCTTGAACGAACTCCGATACCGACCCAGCTTAGTACCGAGACTAGGGCGGGGCGGGTCAAATCGGAGTCCAAATATATTTTTTTGGGTATTTTCGATACCCAATCCCCAACCCCATACCCCCAAACCACCCAGCCCCACCCACTTAGCATGCAGCACAATACCAAAAAATTAAAAAAATACAATTAGGCATTAAGGCTCGGAACAGGCCCGGCCAAGCATGTCCACAATTTTCGAAGCCCGTAGACCGACCCATTCCTCCCGGTTCAGGGCCCAGTCCCAATCCCAGTACCGGCTGACCAGGCAAGGTCGGGCCTGCACAGTCGAGGCCATTCCTAGATCAGTTCCCGATTTTTAATTTTTTTTTCTTTTTTTATGTTGTTAAACCCTTCCAACCCTTCCCTACCTACCCTTTTTAACTTTTAAAAAAATGAAAAAAAACTACCTACTCCCTCCGCTCCCTATAATTGTCTCATTTTTTCATTTTTGGATGTTTCTCTATTTGTCCCAAAATATTTGGTAACATTTGTGTGACTCTAATTCATTCTTACTTTATTCTCCACGTCATCAACTCATTATCAAGCACATGATTCCACTTTATTCCACTTTTCTTAAAAACCAGTAAACCACACCTCTCCTCCGTCCCAATATTAGGGGGACGGAGGGAGTATAAGATTGTACCTGATCAACCTCTTCCCATCGTCCCCAAATACCCTAACCGGGACCGGGACCGGTGGGGATGGGTCCAGCATCGGTCCCAAGACTGAATCAGAAAAACAACTAGTCTGATCCTGGGAACCAGCCAGTTCCAGTCCCGACAATCCGACATGAACCAGGTCCAACCCTACTCAATGGTCTCTTTTGAGATTCCACTCTATGTAATAGGTCCAGCTCCAATATAGTGCGTTCAGCAACCACTACTTTACTAATCCTGTCAAAGCCCATACATTCCTAAAACAACTCCAGCAACCACTATTTTTAAAGTGCACACGGTCAAAGGAAAACATTTGCAGTTTGGCACATCGACTGTTTTGAGGCAAGTGCCTGGAATAACATTTTACTAATGTTAAAACACATCAAAACTTTTCTTTAAAAAAACATCAAAACTCATGGAGTATTCACCTATCACAGATCTTGTAGAGAAAAAAATTGCTCATACACTGCACTGCAAATACAACAGTCAAATTATCAAATGCAGCAACACTTCATTCTGATCAACCACTCAAATGCCAACCCATCATGATCTGTATAGTACATTATACAAACACATTAAGCACGGTTTCGCTATAACTGACAATAAAGGTTCTAACGCATATATCTAGCAAGGGATGCAAGCATTACCGGAAAAGAGCACAAAGCCGCTACAATGTACTCTAATCCTCTTCCATAGGAACTTCTGGGATATCAAACATATCTTCTTTAATCGTTTTAGTGATAACAGAAACAGGACTAGGTGATATTATGTCAAGAGAAACAATGTGAGTTGAGCAAGATTAATTTGAACCCCAAAATGACATAATGTTTAAAAGTTAATACATGAAAATGTTCCAAGTGAGTTTTAGTATGTTTAATTAACAAAAAAAAGCCATTGCATAGACATTTGATTAAAAAGGATATTTATTGGCATAGGATCATCCTCCTTTTCCCCGCGACTTCGACTGTGATTCAACTCCTGCAGTATATCTGTAGTAATCTGCAATTGAGAAATAGGGAATAGCACACATTATAGCACTGCCAAACTAAAATATATAGAACACTATCAGATAATATAGTATACCATATGATGCCTTTGTCTTTCCACCAAATTGATTATGTTAGCTTTATCCTCCTTCCGTAAATCAGCTTTGTATCTGTCAAAATCATTTCACTTTAATACATGGCATAGGGGATTGCAACACTTTGCAATGCGTGCAAGTTTGTGATGGTAGAAGAGTGAGTAAAGAGGACAGAAAAAAATATAAAACTTAAAACGAAACAAAAAATAAATTTAAAGGTCATGACGCATGGGAAAACAAAGAGCATTCTAACCTTCGCACAAAGCAAAGAAGTGATAGGTGCCATATTACAGGCATAACCCTCGACTCTGTGTAGAATTTCATGAAATGGGCAACCATGGCGTCGAGTACTCGATATGGCAAAGCATATTTCTTCTCGATCAATACCTGTATCAAGTAGCTACAGCAGAAAAAAAATAAAGAAATTGCGTTAGATAAGAGCAATAAGATTAGGTATTCCACTAGGGCCATATATTCATATATTTTTCATACTAAAAATTTGTGAAACTTCCAATATTACCTTATAACCTTCATGGCTCTAATTACTGTGATTTTCTCAAGTCTTTGTGTAAGTTCTGAGTAGAGTAATTGTACACCCTTCCATGTGTACTTTTTAGTAATTATAGAGTAACGGTTGAGTCATTGTTGACTATAGATATTGTATTAAACAAATAATAGAAGTACAAATACTCCTATTAAAAATTAACTTCATTTCTTAGGAATCAATACTCCTTGAAGAGAATAATGTAAAAATGCTCCTATTTAAGGAAATTGACGTCTTCTTATTCATATTTAAGTCAATATTCCTAAGAAATATCATATATATTCTAATAGACTTTTGCAAGGAAAAATGCCTAAAGCTAAAATCATTTGTACCAAATTTAATACAGTGACCCGTCGAGCTAAACCCATGAGTCTACAACCCATGCCCCAAAGTAATTATACAGTAACATATACAATAAAGTAAGAAAAAATAAGATGTCTATATACCTTGTTGTGCCATAGTATTCCATTTGAGCAAGCTTCAGTAGTGCAACACTGCAAACGTTGAAGTAAAAAAACCTCATAATGTCTGTTGTTGCAACAATAATGAAGCGACATAGAAATACTACCGTGAAAAAAATACAATGCATGACATAGAAGATACAGATACATAGAAGCTCAACTAAAACATGAGTACCCACAAAATGAGGTTGAAATATTAAGATTAAAAAAGTAAATGTGAGCAGTTGTAGGGGTCGGGAGAGCAATTGAGAAACAGTATAAGCAATCAGTGTTACTTAGTTTTAAAAGGCATGAGGCGCTATGAGACATTTTTGTTAAATACAGCCGAGGCATGAGCCAAAGGGGCGCACCTCATAGAACTTCAGCTTACAGATTTGCTAACAATATACAACTTGTACATGATACCCGTCTACCCAAAAATAATGATACAATCATATATATATATATATATACATATATATATATATATATATATATATATATATATATATATATATATACAGGGGATGGTTCAAATAAAAAGTGGTCTTGACGTGCAAAGTGCACAGTTTGCACTTTTTCATGTTTCGCTTGCACTTTTTCTTGCTTTCGTTGCACTTTTTCGCGGTAGCTTAAAAAATTTGGTTTATTTACAAAACTGCCACCGTCATTTTAGCCGAATTCGGCCAAAATCAAAATGGCCAAAAAGTGCAACGCAAACAAGAAAAAGTGCAAGTGAAAAATGAAAAGTGAAAACTTTGCACTTTGCATGGGAAGACCACTTTTCATTTGAACTCTTCCATATATATATATATATATATATATATATATATATATATATTAATATACACACACACATGGATATACCACAAGAGAAACAATCAGGAATTCAGGACTGTTTTCTGGAGCTTAACTAAAGCTCATAATGTAAAGTCTATTCTTAATGATTTAATGTGTCCTGGACTTTAAAAATATCAGTTATTTGGTTACATGGTTAGAACATTAAGGCTTCTAATTTTAAGACTATCAGACTGGGTACAAATTAAGGCTTACTAGTCACAATAAGAAAGATTATATTAAGGCTTCTGGCCTCAAGACTATCAGAAAGATTACAAATAAGCTTTAAGACTTCAAGTCAAAATATGAAGGCTTCTCTTTATATGGAACTTTAATGTTTACTTTAGTTTGCTGGGAATACAAAACTAGGTTGATAACACATATGGTCTGTTAGGTTATCGGTAATTCAACAGTAATTCTGAGCTCAAAAATGGCGATGAAGATCAAAAACAAAAGTTCATTGTTTAACCGAGAGACAAGAATACAATTCCCAAGTCGTTTCCGACTCCCAGTCCCGAGTCCCAAGCCCGATAATTCCAACCACCCCCCTTTCTTCTATTCCCAGCCTACCTTATTTATTCATTCCCTCATGGGCCAGCCCACCTCCACTTAGTTATAAGGCCTACACCCCTTTTATTACAAAATATTAAGACTTAATAATATTCTTAGGTCTCTATCATCACTCCCCCTTTGACAAACACCTTGTCCTCAAGGTGGGAAGTGACTGAGTAAGAAATAGCTATGCCATTATGCTTTATCCTCGCTCCTCTGCCTTCCCAGTACTTCAGCTCGTATAGTTTTCTTCGTTTTGATCTCCATTCAATCTCTGTGTCCACATAGTGATCCTTTTGGCCACAGTTGTTATCTCCATCCCTTCCCAAAGTCTGATCTCGTACAGAATCTCCCATGAAGAACACATAATCATCTTCGGGACTGTAAGTCTCAGTTTTCGAATCAGCACCCGAGGAAGGTAAGATAGAACTCAGTACACAGCCTCCCGACCTACTCCATGTGCCTAAGACTTCTCCCAGCCTCTGCCTCTCCAGTTGCATCAACATCTTCCCAGGAACAAACTTGATCCTTTCATATTCTATGGAGGCCAGGGCACAACATGCTGCCTCATAGAGAGCAACAACAACCCGCTTACCAAAATTTTCCTCATTCTTCTCAACTGTTTGCTTGATCAACCTCTTTAACCTTTCCACAGCTTGATTCATAAAGTCCAGGTCTACTTGGATTGTATTACACTGGTATTCGAGAGTGAACCTATCAGCAATTTCTGTGAACCCTTCCTTCTTCCATGGATTGGCTGTCTCCTTTTCCATCTCCGTTTCAATCATTGCAGATTTGAGCAAGCAGAATTCTTCTTCATTTGCTTGAATCTTTGCAGTGATAGATTTGAGAGGAACTTGGTGTCTGCTTAGATGGGCATCTCCCTGAAGCTTCCTGACTCTTCCATTTTCCCTCCACTTAATAGTGAGCTGGTTGAAATTAAATTCAACAGTTCCCAATCCAGATAACCAGTCTAATCCCAAAACCATCTCTATTTCTCCCAATTCTAAGACATAGAAGTCTTGAATGATGTTAGTCTGTTGTATGTTAATAGAAACAGCTTCACATCTCCCATCATTTCTGATTAGGTCCCCATTTCCTATTTCCCTTTTATATTCTGGGAGCTGGTGGACAGATACTCCTGCTGTTTGAACTACCCTTTGAGATATAAAATTGTGAGTAGCCCCACAATCAATTAGAATGATAATATCTTTAGTCCTTCTGCCACTTGTTAATTTCCCTTTCACTCTGAAAGTCTTAGGGGCTGTGATTCCTTCTTTGTTCATGGAAGACAGCTGCATATTAGAGGTGCCTGCTTCTTCCCACTTTGGACTAATTGCCATTGTACCAGGTCTCTTTTTACCAATGCATGAATTTTCTGGCCATTGGATAATCTCTCCTTGCTCCTCGGTTTCGTCCTTCTTATTCAGTTTCTTGATTACAGATTCCGTTGACTCCATCTCAGTTTTATTTATTGACTGGGGCAATTCTTTCGCAGGTTGAGAAACTTGTGAACTCATCAATCCTGATAGTGAAGAATCTGGTGATTGCGAGTTGGGGTTTTCTACTTGCAACCATTTTTTAGAATGGTAATGCGAAGAGCTATGAGAAGAACGATGCGAAGAGATATGCGAAGACCTCGATGACTCTGGTTTTGCTGTCTTCCCTGTCTTCTGCCGGTGTCTAGGTGGAAAATCCCTAATCAAATCTTCTTTTAAAGCCTCCCAAATATCTTCTCTCTTTTGAAAGTCCCACCATTGAAAGCAGCCATCTGCAGCTTCCCCCATTGCCTTTGCTGCAATGTCTACTTTAAATCTTTCTGCAATAGAGCTTGGACTCGGAAATATCTTTCCATCCTCCCTATCCATGCGTACGCTTCAACCTTGTGGAATAGAGGTAATTCCTCTGTCTTTGACCTAGCTCCGACTTCATCGCGAGTCTTCCACCCACCATCGCTAGTCTTCCGCGCTTCATCGCGATTCTTCCCCACCTTCTCACTGTTTCGTTCCAATTTGCGCAAACCAGATGCGGACAGTTCTGACCATCGATGTTCTTCGCGTAAACCATAGCGCTTCTCCATGGTTCCAGGCGTCGATTGCTCTGCAGAAGACGAAGAATATTCACTACTGTCCAGTCTCTTGCTTCGCTTTGTTGTTTTGGACCTTCCGCGCGACTCGCGAGGCTGCGATATGAATTCGCGCAACTCATCGCGAGTTCGCTGAGCTACTTTGCGCATCTCCTCGCGCATGCGCGACGTCTCTGTGCGGCTATTCTCCAGCTCACGTTCCACATTCTCCAATCGCGCTTCCATCGTTCCTCTTGTGGTGACCATGTACAGGTAAAAGAGCAACAGATCGTTGCTCTGATACCAATGTTAGGTTATCGGTAATTCAACAGTAATTCTGAGCTCAAAAATGGCGATGAAGATCAAAAACAAAAGTTCATTGATTAACCGAGAGACAAGAATACAATTCCCAAGTCGTTTCCGACTCCCAGTCCCGAGTCCCAAGCCCGATAATTCCAACCACCCCCCTTTCTTCTATTCCCAGCCTACCTTATTTATTCATTCCCTCATGGGCCAGCCCACCTCCACTTAGTTATAAGGCCTACACCCCTTTTATTACAAAATATTAAGACTTAATAATATTCTTAGGTCTCTATCATAGTCATGCACACGTACTAGGCAATTAAATAACTTATAACAGAAAAAGGAGAGCATGAGCACAAACTGCTCTATCTGTGATTGCCGATTGGAGCAAAAGAGGAGTACAGGAAAAGATAGCACGTGGAAAATACTAAGAAATTGAGAGGAGGAACATAGGAAATGATTAAGCGGGGAGAGAGAGAGAGAGAGAGAGAGAGAGAGAGAGAGAAATTTACATGAAACACAACATGCTAAGGCAAGGGGAAGAATTTGATTTTGTGATGAATAAGAGATGGAGGGTTTAAAACTCCGCAAATAAGTAGGCAAATAAATCGCGACAGAGCAGGGGAAGAGTTTGGCTTGTGAATTGTGATACATAAGATGAGATGGGGTGGATTGGGACTCTGGGAGTACTACACAGAAGAAGAAAACTCTAGGAAACTTACGGCAAATATACCGCGACTGGCAAATAAAACATCAAATTTACAACAATCACTGTGTAAAGTTGAAAGAGATAAGGCTGCGTACATCCGAATCCACCTTACCCCAACGTAGGTCGGAAGCCTTTGCGGCTTTGGGCAATGTTGTTGTGTTGTGTAAATTTGACAATTGAGGCGCTGGTGTTTTGTTTTTGCCTCTAGAGTCACGGAACACAGAAAGAAGTGAGGAAGGTGCATGCCTAGTGCGCACTTTTTAAAACTAAGCCTGCATATAGGGCTTTCTCATTCCCCCATGGTTACACTGCACACAAGAGCTAGTGCAACAAGAACTCTTTCATCACAATTGGCCAGACAAAGGAGATGTAGGCTAAGTGGGAAACGTGAAATGGGATTTCTAAACAATATTGGATATGAAATGTGGGGGAATCACGTAAATATTAAAAAAAAGATATATTTATTAATACTTTTCAGATATGTATACAGTATACATGGTTTTCCATATATATGGACATTTTTTCATAAAAACTATTATATATAGAACATATAGCAATTCATTTTGTAAAGTGTAACTTGAACATATATTTTTGGGATAAGCCAAAAACGGAAAGTGCATCTTACAAAATATTCAAACTATTACATATTTACATCTTATAAAGTGTAGTAATACATAAAAATAAAATCCAATAGATTTATAGCAATGCATTGTCTTATGAAATATCACAATGTTGCACCTTGCAAGAAAGAAATCACATAAAAAATCACTAAAAAGATTTATATAAGCACTACTTTCCGTCATGGAATCCCATCAAAAAGAAAAAAATGGAAACCCAAAGTATTCGAACGCTAATTATTTAGGAAAACAAGTTTCACAATTCTTCTTAATTGTGGAAGAAGCACTGAAACAGGAAATTGAAGTTTTCGGCACGCTTCTGAAATGGGGAACCGTGATCCATGGAAAGTTTCTGTGCTTCATAGGATGTAGGTAATCTTACCTCTTATCAAATATGTTAAAAGGGTCCTTGTTGGTCAACAAGGCTCATAAATTCAAACACAATTAGAATAAGATTCATTAATCAGGTAATACATAGCGAAGATTCTAAGACCTTTCTTACTAAGCAAACAAAAAGACTACATGTGCTTATTATACAACAGAATAGCATCACACATCTCAAGGATATATTTAACCAATCATCACATTATTGCTAGTTTAAAAAGGAACAGCACATACAGTAAATTTTGGTCACTGCATGTTGTACGGTGCCAAAGGCTACAAGAATGCTTAAAGCATGGGAGACGAAGAAATGTGCAACGTTACTTTCATTTACAGAAAGGTTATCCGAAAGACTTAATGTGTGCTAAATGCATCTCCATGAGTTATGCATTGTATATATTTTCATTACACTCATGTTGCAAAATGTTTCCATTGCACATATGCAAAAAGAAAGAAAAGAAAACAGAAAATGCCTTCCGAACCTACAGCATAAACTCCTACCTTCTAAGCAAGGAAGGTATTCATACAAATGAAGTCCATTCCAAAAACATATCAGAAATTCCTTGAGCTAAGCATTAGTTACTCTCAAACACAAATAAGACTACAAGACCGTACAAATGTACACCAGATCTAAACTGATAGCTTGCATACCTAGCATGGAGGGGAGGAAAAGATGTCTTCTGAATAACACTCCCAACAATCACAGCCTCCCTTATAGTGCAAGTTCGTGACTAGCATCACATAAAGAAATTTCCACAACAGAATATCGATTAGATTGAGAAAAAGAAATGTTTACAGCAACTGGTAGCAACTATCTGTAGAATATGAGGACATCTGGTACTGTGTGTAGACATACATACACACACATAAATATACATATTCCATCTGTCACATTTCATAAGTCTTACTTTCCTTTTTTTCACCCGACAATCATGTTGACTTTTCTTTTTGAACACCAATAACCTTCTAATTTTTCTATACTACCCTTCTATAATATGATATGTTTACATACTTCTACTACTTCATGGCCCATGCCCCATGCATAGAGTAAGAGGGAGCAATATATTGGAATGGGGGGATTTTCTCTTGGGGAAAAGAGAAATATCACTGTCATTGCAAAGAAAAACTGTTCCCATGTTATAGTTAATACCTCACACAACGGAAACAGGATTCCCTTATTGAAGGCAGCCGGTTTAAAAAGAGCTTTCTTCAATGACTGATGCAGAGCAAAATGCAATCTCTTGTTTTTTCTAATATCATCCCTAACGCGAGGAAGCAGGACAAGCTTGTAAAAACGTTCTGCCTTTTTGGTTCCCATATTTGAAGCGAACATTCGTGTGGCTTGGTACATAGCATTTGGTGACCACTTATCTGGTTCAGTCAAATATAAGACATCTTCCCAGTACTTCAATGAAGGTACGTGTTTGAAAGCTTTTGGAATTTTCCCCAATGTGTATTTGCTAAGAAGTTTGCCAACCCTGCAGAACATCTCAAAGTAAGCTCTCAAAATCAGTTAATTATGAACAGTTTGTCGACAAAATAAACAACAAAAAAGGAAAACATGATGTACCCTTTGTACAACTCAATAATGGAGTTATCCAACTTGGGCATCAGTTGCAATTCTGTAATAAATAAATAAATAATTAAATAAATAAATAAATGTTAAATAAGAAGAATAAGTTTGTAATTCTGGAGATAAAGTCAGGGAAAATATTATATTGCGTAGGCATAACCTGAACTATGAAGTGAAAAGGTCATCAATTGTCAAGTTATTAACATTTAAAAAAACATAGAAGCTTGAATATCTGTATTTCTGCTTATTTAAAAGCTAGTTATCAGCCAAAAAGGTTAATTCTCATTTCCATACTAGAGCTATATCATGGCATATTTATAACTTCCAAGAGATTAGGAGAATTAAAAAATCTGAAAACAAACCCATAGAAGCTTGGGCATCCTTTTCTTTTAGCTTCTGAATAACAACGTCAGCCAGAGTCCTCTGGGGACGCTCATTTGTTGATAAAAAGGCCTCCAGTAACCTCTCCTCTTCTTCATCGACCTTGTCCTGTTTCATCACAAATATGTTTGGACCAATAAGTACTATGGTGATTATACAACAACATCCAAGCCTTAGTCCCCAAAAGATTTTGGGATTGGCTAACATGATCCAATACATAATCAGAGCCAAAAATAAAGAAAGATAAGAAAGATAAAAGATAAGGTAAGATAAAGATAAAAATGATAAGATAAAAAAAGGTAAAAAGAATATATATATTAAAATAAAGTATAAAAGAATAAAGAACATAAGAAAACGAGTATACTACCAAAAGCGTATCGATTTTTACAACAAAAGTTTATACTACTCTAGCACAACAATCACAAGTAGGAGTCAAGCCGCTCATGAACTACTCGTGAGTTGCTCCGTCAAAACTCAACTCGAGTTCAATCAAACTCGAACTCAAGCCAGCACATTAAGCAAACGAGTCGAGCTCAATTCCTCTAAGCTTGTGAGCTCACAAGCCAGCCATAACACACACACCCACACCCACACACACATATAATTAGTTAATAACTTAATATATATGTGTGATTACATATATATATATATATACACACACACACATTATATTTATTTATTTATTGATGCTTATTTATTTATATATTTGAAAACTTAATTGATAGTAAAATAAGGAGTAAAAAAGTCAGTGAAGGAGAGAGATAAAGTACAAATATTAGATATTACTGATTTATTTGTATGTATAAATATAATATTAATAACTTTGAAAATAGAAATTTATTTTTAGCTCGAGTTCAAGCATCTTATTCGAGCTCAAACCTACAAAAATTAATACTCCCTCCGTCCCGAAAAGGCTGGCCAAAGTTGAATTTCACGTGGATTAATAAAGTAAAAACTGTGTGGTTGAAATTTGTGCAGAGGAGAGAGAATTAATTTTAGCCACATATTCCTTACTTTAAATGGAAATGGCAAATCTTTTTGGGACATCCAAAAAAGGAAATTTGTCCAACCTTTTCGGGACGGAGGGAGTATTAGCAAAACTCGACCCGAGCTCGAACCGAACTTGATGTGACCTCGAGCCGGTCTTGACTCGGGTTCGAGCCAAAATTGTTTAGCTCATTCAAGCTCAAATACATGCATTCTTATCAAGCTCAAGCATACTCACGGCTTGTTTGTACCCCTAATCACAAGTAGTTAACCATACTATAATGAAACATTCTGGCAAAGCAAAAATATAGAACCTATGAAGCACGGAAACTCTTGGCAGCTCATGTTTCCCCGTTTTGGAAGCTCATAAGTGTTTCGGAACTTCGGAAACTTCAAATTCCCGTTTCGGGGCCGTTTAGGTAGTTAAAAAGAAATGGGAAACCTGTTTCCCTAAATAATTAGTGTTTCAAAAGTCTTGGGTTTCCAATTTTTCCTTTTTTAGGAGATTCAGTGATGGAAATTGGAAAATAGTGTTTTTTAGAACATTTGGTGAATTTTTATGGCATTTCATCATAGCAACATTGTGAAAATTTGTAACGCAAAGCGTTACTAGAAATGTATTGCATTCTATGTTTAACTATGTACTAATTACTTGTGTGCATATATGAAAAAATATTTACGTAGTATAAATTATCCTAATAGTTTTATTATTTACACGTTTCCCGCACGTTTCGTATCGTATATTTTTTAGAAATTACGTTTTTCGCGTTTCACGATTCCTGTTTCACGTTTATGTGCTGCTTAGTATGGTACTTAAGTTGGTGTAGCAAAAATTCCATTTCACTTCTTTATGAAAAGTAATGCAGTTCATATTATAAGTTCCAAATATTATAAGCTTCTCCAAAGAAGCATTCATGCATGTTGCTAAATAACAGAGTAAGAAAAAGATAGAAAATTGAATAACATGTACGAACCTCAATGTCAACATACTGACTCTGGGTTTCAGAAAACCCTAAAAAATTGTCTAAATCATCATCACCATTGTTCTCAATCTCATCTACAGGTTCTTCTGTTATAACTAAACCATTATGGTTTCCTTCCCGAGCCTCTTCCTCTTCAATTTCCTTTTGCTGAATCAAAGCCTCCTTAAGTATCTTGGAGCTCATACCAGAAGATATAACCTGCACTCACATATTGAAAAATGGGTAAATTTGAGAAAAGATAGAAAATTTGCAAGTAATGCAAGCCTTCACTCAGGCTTACCTTTTGTTGTTCCTGATGAGATTTGGGAGCTTTTGAGCGTTTGCTGGTAGAGGCTATTGAATTTGAATCTGCTCCATTAAGAAATGGCTCCGGGTTCGTCAGCCTAGCTCGCTTCTTAGCCATTGTAAATCAACTAGACCCTGCGCTTGGAAGTTAAAGTCGTCTGTTTTGCAGAGGGTAAAACCTGGAAGTTAAAGCTTATAATAACTGATCTGCAACAACAATTATCTTCATTCACATTGAATATATTAGAAGTGGTGTAGCAATATGCCTACTAGAAACTCATCCCAACACTTTATCAAACGTGTAATATAACATGTGAAGTATTAACTTTCATACGTAGTATATGACTACTAATTTACCCAATTGATAAGAATCAAGCCATCAATACTAATTCTATGAGTTCATAAGCTATAAAAATTTTCATAAAATGAACATAATTAAAACAAAGCACTCAAATGATACAAGCTCGTGAAATAAACCTTCCAAAAGTCAAGAGGTGGCGGCTATGAGCAGGGGGAGGCGGAGGAGGAGGCAGTTGAAGGTGCCAGGCGGAGGGGTGCGACGCGGATGAGGAGGCAGTTTTGAAGTTGCGAGGCAGAGGGGTGCGACGCGGAGGAGGCAGGTGCAACGGAGACTAGATTTGGGGCATCGGCGGCTTGCTGGGAGGGCGGCGACTCTGCTTCTGGAAGGGCGGTGGCTCTGCTGCTGGTAGGGCGGTGGCTCTGCTGCTGGTAGGGCGGCGGCTATGCTTCTGGAGCCAAGGGATCTGATGCGGAAGCTTTTTGTTGCGATTTTTATTATTAACCCGCTACTAATACACATATTTATTCGAGTTAATGTTTTGGTTCTCGGTTGACCGCTACATACAGGATTCTGGCACCTTTTGCAAACTCTAAAAAAACCATTTCCCAAATTTTGATTTAAAAAGCTAAAAATAGTGTTTTCAAGTAACATTTTTTACTTAAATTAATACTTAAAAAACTAAAAGCTTGAATCTTCTTTTTACTATTCTATTATACAAAGGACATTTATTTTACCAATCACTATCGATTTTAACTTTTCAAAATCATTTTTTTCTTAAACACTAACAATGTTTACTATAAAGCACTTTTTCCAAAATCACTATAAAAAATTCAAAATCACTTATGAGTAGTGTTTGCAAACAAAGTCTCTATCCCTTCTCACTTTCGACGTTCCATATAAAAGTTTTTATTTCTATTTTTAGGAAATAATTAACAATCTCAAATAACAAATTAATTATTAAATATTAAAAATAATACATTTATAACATCACAGTTATCAACACTAACCTCATTGTATTATATACCTATTAAAATTATTTTTCAAAATATACTCGAACTACCTTATTTAATTATTGTCTAAATAATCGTGATATTTTGCCATTAGAACCTTTCAACAGGACGGATGTAGTACATTTCAATAATGTTTGGTGCGGTTGTTTACCAACCAGTGCAAATTGTTGATTTTCTTTAGCATCAATTGTTACGGTTCATCTTCCACCTCATCGATCGTTGTGCTTCATTGATGTGAGTTTTCTCGCAATAATAACATTGTAGACGTATAAGGATAAGTACAAGTGTCGTATTCACAGAGATGGAAAAGGAGAATTAAGAATTGAATAAATTCAGCTATTAAACTAAATAAAATAAATGCTAGCGCGAATTTGGAATTTTTGGAAATAAAAATGCGAATAAAAGAATGCTAAATCAAGAGGTTTCAAACGAATTAATGACAGAAGGACGCATGGATTGATTTCGGGGTAATCAGATTTTGGGGCTAATCAGACACAATCACATGATAATTATTTAATTGAACACGTTGGTCAATGCTAAGTTCTTACCGCTCTCGTGGCGTAGAGTACAACCAAATAGAAAATCAGTCTGATCTCTCATGCATCGGACTCCTAAAATCATTGCCAAAACGAGCGAGCGTATGACTCCCTAATCACTTTTAATCTCTTAGCTACTGGAAAAGTGTGCATGAAAAGTGTCATAAAACAATTAAGGTCTCTCCAAATTATTATATGTGCGATTATAATCTTAGTTGCAGTTCTAGGTTAGAAAAGATACTCCTGCTGATTTGTAGCACGAAAATCGGCTGATTTGGCTGATTCTGCTGAAATTTATAATGTTTTGGCTGAAGTGACTGCATTGGCTGATTCTACTGATTTAAGAAAAATTTATTTTTAAAATATATTTTATTAATAAAATAAAGAAAAAATTATATGTGAAAATAGCTAAAATTGTCATCTACAGTAACTTCACCCGATACAGCCAGAAAAGTATCTTCAACCTCACTTTTTCTGCTTATTACAAAATTCATCGCGCGAAAGCAAAAGTTACGTGTTTGGTGAAAAAATTGGCTAATAAGCCGAAAAATAGTGTTGCCAAACGGCCTCTTAATTATTCAAACATAAATTAAATAAAGATCATGCAATTAAATCATCAAGAAACTAATCTTAGATAATGACTGAAACCTCTTCATCAATCCCAACCCCTAATTAAATCTACTCACAATTTATAATTGAATTAACAACAGAATTGGAAAAGTAAGAATTAATTGTCATTAATTTGAAAGAATGAATTCACGAACAATCTGAGAAGCTTGATTTACTAATGAAATTCTCATTCCTAGGGTTCTTTGTCAACCTCTGATGTCTCTCAACAACTCTCTATTTGAACCCAGATTAACAGTCAAGCAACAATAACGAAAGTACATAGAATAATGAATAACAAAACGCAACCTTTATTGAGTCCTCAGAATGATGAGAAGATGAAGTACAAAGTATTCATAAGGTTTTCAGCGAGAACGAACGTGAGATCAGAGCTTCAACAATAATGTGCCAATAATAATTATGAAAACTCTTAAGTTGTTAGCTGACATACGTCCCTATTTATAGATGTAGCAGTCGAACGCTTAAGCACAAGTATAGCCCACAATATTTAAGACAAGTCCAAAATTAAATTCTAACTTTTTTTTTAAATTCCAACTAACAAAGGTAAATACAATAAAATTGAACACCATAAAATGTTCTAACATTCTCGAACATATCTCAAATCTTCACAAGAAATTCTCCAACGTCGATGTCGGGCTTGAATTCCTGACTTTAGCTCTACAAAAATAGCGCAAATCAAAACGCGATAAATTGTGACTTGACCTAATTTAGTGCTGTGTGACACATTCAAGTTAGAAAAATTGGTAAAAACCAATTCCAACTCACATGCGTGTTGAAATATGGACTTATCATTCATCGTCCATTCCATCAAGTGCTCTAAATTCCATCATATAACCGCCGCAAATGATATACCCAGATTTTAACTAATTAAAAGAAAACACTTTTTGTTACTAATTTTTTCACAACCGCTGCAAATACAAAGCACCAAATGTCAAAAATTGTTGTAGTGTTCTCAACATTCTTTTCTGCATAATATCATTTAACCCCCCCGATCAGCTACCCATCTTCCGATTTCGGAGCGAGTCCTTTCATCAAGTTCCGACGTCTTCTTTGGTTCATCGAGTTGTGAAAAAAAATGATATTAATATTCCCTCCGTTGCAGCCAAAACTCTTTAGTCCTCCGTTTCCAGAAAATATTTTGTTTCTCTAATAATTCAAGATATCATTCCTTCGTTCAATTATACTCCCTCCGGTCCTAAATAAACTTCACACTTTCCTTTTTGGGTAGGTCCAAAATAAACTTCATACTTCTTCTCTCTTCCTTATTAGGCAGATTATCTAGCCGTGTTGTAACACCGTCCCCAAATATATTTACTTTTTAGTAAATCATGTAATAAATCTTGAATATTGATTTATGAATTTACGTGGTTGTAAATTTTTGGTTATTTCTTTCGCGTGAATAGTGAACTGCACGTGAGGCCCACATCGGGAGCAGGGACCGTCCGGTAATCCCGGGACCACATATTATATTCATCTTGGTCTAGATAATATTTATATGATGGTATATATTTTAGTTAGGCCATGGAAAGGGTTTAGGGTTGACCCGTCGGTCAAACGAAGTCCAATTACCGGTATTGGTAATTTACCGGATAACAGTCCGAATTGAATTTCAGAGACTTCTAAATTAAAGTTGGGGAATCTACAATTATTCTAAAGGTCCATAGTTATTGAAATCACACAATATATTTTATTTGGCCCGATAAAATAAAATATAATTAAAACAGTCCGAGAAATACAACTTTCGGGACCGATTGTACACATCGGGACGAAAAGGGTTGACCTCCCACATGAGTGGGGCCCAACCCACGATTTTTGTCACTCAATTTGAGAGCTTGGCCGGCTGGTAGGATAGGATATCATGGGAGGGGATTTTGAGATGAGAGAATGGCATCAAACAATAAATGAGGTGAACCTCACCCACACTCATTTGGTCATTGAGACAAAAGAGCTATCCTCACCCTCTCTCTCCCTCGTACCTGCGGCCAGCACACCCCAAGCAAGAGCAAACCAATATCCATCCTTCCTCCTCCATTGTTGAAGAGAGCTCAAAAGAAAGAATCTCAAGAAAAAGAGCTAAAGCACTAAAAGTGTGAAAGGATTAAGGTAATGGCCTTATCATAACTATTTTCTCCTTTTCTTCTACTATATGAAATGTGTATCATATGAAGAACCTTTAGGATTATCATACATGATAAGAGTGTGGGATAATGGTTTGGAAGGTGGTTCTAAGTCAAAGAACGGACTTAGAAGCCAAAACGACCGGTTCGTCGGAAAATAACCTTTTAGGGGTTATTTGTGTTGATATGGGTTTTGTAATGATAAAACCATGTTAGGAGCTTGACTAGAGTGATTCTAGATTTCGCCGGAGTTTCGCCGGAGTTCGCCGGAGTTTCGCCGGAGTCTCGCCGGAGTTCAACTAAGAAGAGTAGAATCTTTCTAAAGCTCATTTGAGGTGAGTGGATGACTTAAAGTCTTGTAACTTTTGGGTTAAACATGAGATTACCTGAGTATATGTTATGTGTGTTCATAATAATGTTTAAATGAATTAAACATGTGATTAGCCAATTAAAGTGATTAGGCTTGTATGAAGTGAACTATTGAAATATGCACGATTTGTGAAGTGAAAATGCTCATAAAAACATATGTGATATGTTTAGAGATGAAATGTGCATAAAATAGTTATTTATAACTTAGTACATATTGTGATTAAGTTTGACACACATTAGATTTGGAATGGCGGGTCAACCGAGAGTAGACTGGCGCCGGTTTGGCCTTACTTTACCTATATGCTAATTTTAATGCATGAGTTGCATGGATGATTTTGGTTTAGGCCTTAAGACTTGGTCTAGTCTTGTTATTGATTATGATATAGGCCCTATCTAGTATGATATGTGGTAGATCATAGGTTGTGTGGAGTACCCAAGGATCGGGCGGTATCCTCAAAACTCGGTTATATAGGGTTGAGTACCCAAGGATCGGGCGGTATCCTCAAAACTCGGTTATATAGGGTGGAGCACCCAAGGATCGGGCGGTATCCTCAAAACTCGGTTATATATGGTGGAGTACCCAAGGATCGGGCGTGTATCCTCAAAACTCATAGATTACTATTTAGTAATTCAGGACCAGGCGGTGTACTTATGATTATTTGATTTGGACAGGAGGAGTCCTATACACTCATAGGTCTATGGGTGGGTTGGGGTTTTACGTCAAGGACATTGACTACTATTATTTTTCCCAATTAAACAATGACCTACGGGTCGGGTATTTCCAAGTGTATATAAGTACTGATATGTATTTTGTAAATTGGGGTAAGGAAGTATAAGTATATGTATCACCCTATGTTTGGGTCTTATACTTGAAACGTTAGTTACTCTAC